GTACATACATGCTCTGAACTAATGCTAGGTTTGATTAGTTTTTGGTAATAATCCGTGGATACTAATTACTAATTTGCATAATGATTAGTCAATTTTCGGGTTTTCCACTGATATCTCAAGTACTAATCATCACATTTCAATGAAACTTGGTACATAGATATCATATGACACTGCACAAACCTGATAGTTTTTATGGTAATATCAGTACATATTAATTACCTAATTTGCATAATTAGTTAATTTTCAGCATTTGCTATAAGTACTAATCATCACATTTCAATGAAACTTGGTACATAGATGTCATATGACACTGCAACGACCTGATAGTTTTTATGGTAATATCAGTACAGTCAAACCTGTGTTAAACGACCACCTGTGCAGAGCGGCCACCTGCTCATAGCGACCACCTTAGTACAGTCCCTTCGCAGTTTACACGTTAAAGACACTGGATATAGCGACCACCTGTCCAACGCGACCAGCGACCACTCTATTGTAGACCTATTCACACTTTAACCTTTGTATAACGACCACCAACATTTCCATCAGACAGTCTCGGCAAAAAGACAATAGCTACTTGCGAATCGCTAACAGGAAAGTGGCCATATGTTACGTTCAGATTACCGAGTACGCAATCTTTAGGGCTAATAGACAGGGGTGACCATCGCAACTTGGTTTGTGAAGTTGCGAAAAAGTAAAAAAAAAAAAGTTGAATATCATCTGAATGTAACGTCTGGAGACTGGAAAGATTTTAACAACAAATTAAAACAATTTCATTCAAAGTTTGAAATGAAAAACTAGCTTGTTTCCGATCGGTACTATACTATCGATTTCCAGCCGGCCAACGGCACTTCTGTGGACTGTCTCGCACATGAAGAGCAAATTCCTCCCGTCTCAACGAAAGATGTTTTCTATTTTGATCCTCTTTGTTTTTTTATAAAAGGTAATATCAATAATTCGCAATCGAGAAAATTCGTTTCGTTTGGGCAGTTTTGACACGTCGATGCTTGCAACAAATAACTGTAAAATTGCGTGTACGATCATTGTGTTTCATTTCCGGTTCGTTTGACTTTCTGATTCAACACCGAGAGTTGGAGCAATCGTTATGAGTTTGGTAAATTTTGTTTATTACCAATGCTTCTTCATTTTTAATGCTTGTTTGTTTGTTTTTTTTCAAACACGGCAACTTTGCCTGTGCATTTTGTCAAAGTGTACATTCGACAATACTAACGATGGGACTGATTGCCGCCTGTGATGGAATATGTGTAAGAGACTGGAGAATAAGACTGCATGGCGAGAGTGTAAGAGACTGAGCTGAAACGCCAATGCGGCCGATCGGTGACAATCGTTCTTATGCATTAAATACACCAATGAATCCATGGGCAGAATCACTTGGTTTCAGTGAATTTACATGATATAATTTGTAGTAAAAAAGTAAAGTTGTGTAATTATCCAGATGAAAATGAGTGACTTTTATTAAAAAAGACCTATTCATTGTAGAATGTGTAGGTTTGTTTTTATGTTTTGCTTATGTCTCCCTTACAATTCCCGCCATAATTAATATTCATTATTGAATAAATAAATTAGGCCACCTCCATATAAAGACCACCTGTCTACAAAAGACAGTTTGGCTCAGTTCACTGACTGTCCTTTATAGACAGGTTTGACTGTAGAAAGTTTGTCACATTTGTTTGTTTTCACATACCTTCAACGTTTCCTCCAGCCTATAGTTATCAGTATTTCTGATATAATGATAGACGTTACTAATGTTGTATTTACACATCAATTCTATGTATTTTTCTTGTACTTCCGGTTCTATCACAGTCTGATCTCGTATATGGATTGCGCTGCCAGTATTTTCACGGTATTCAAATAAACCTTTCAGGAACTCATACAAAACAACTTGTTGACTCTATAAACAACAACAAATAAAGATCAGTATTGTGTGCTTCAGCTATTATCATAATAATACCGTTATAATACAATTTTCCTCAGTAATGTTCACTGCATCACACAACACTGTACAATACCAAGGTATTACATTGTATATTATGTTGTCATGGTTACCTCAAGTTTTGTGACGATGTCAGCAATAGAGAGTGTTAAATCTGTCAACACGAGCTGTGCTGTTGCTTTGCTATCTATGGTCACCAGTTCCTAGAAATAAACACACATTAAGATAAACAATATTTGTATACTTAATAGGAATCAACATACTAGTATCTGATGTAGATTTTCACATGCCAACCTAGTGTTGTTCATTCTTCACAAATTACCATCATCGCGTCTACTTATTATTTGTCAGAACAAAGCTTGTGTATACATCTGTTATTTACAACAGTATGTGTGCTGTGACCGGCTAGAATCAATCCAGCAGAAGTTTTTACATTTATTATGTTCAGTGCGTAAGTTGAATTATAATGATTTTAGTTGTAGAGATTTATAAACATTATTTATATTATAGATTTTAAAGAACAAGCGTGTATACTTTGACTTGTTATTTCTTTGAAATTCGAACATGAGCTGCCCCGGCAACTGTGGCTGTTATATATTCTCATCCTTTAGTTTGAAATTAAACATTATATCTGAATGAATGCTGTCTTTATAATTGGCTACTTACTTCTAAGTGGGACAGCGTTTGTTGCTGCAGTTCATCTTTTTCCTTTTGCGTATAGACTGTCTCGGACATAATAGCATGGACAAACGAAAAGGCATGATTCTAGAAAATCAAAATATTAGTTATTTAGACTACAGAATTGTGGAAATCAAATAACCGCATAAATTTGATTTGAGAGAAATTTGTAAAAACAGAAGAAGGTACATCATCCACCTCTACATCTTTACTAGTCAACGTCCATAGACGTGAATATGTATCCTAAGGTTTATGATAGATAGATAGATAGATAACAGCTTTATTACAACAGTGTTGAAAATTTTACATTTCTAATTTGGTGTTTAAAATGTAATAAAGTTAATGTAATAATGAATTAACTACAAAGTAAACAAGTCATTGTCAATGACACGTCCCCGTTCCGTTCATATTTGAGTGACATATACATTCAAAGCAGCAACAATATGGATGTTGAACTGCATTCAGTAAAACAAAATAGCCACCAGTCAGCCATTTTCAACACAATCCAAAAAAAAATTTAAACTAAATTTGCCCACGCATGACTAAGATTCAGTTCTGGTATGGTGAAAATGTGCAATTTTTGTAAATTTTTGACCTTAAAAGGACTGGCCCAAATGGACAGGCATATGTATGATATAATGTATGATGTGTATGTGAAGTTTGAACTTGATCTGTCCAGGCATGTCCGAGATATGGATCGAAAACTAAATTCTTTAAAACAAAATGGCCGCCAGTTGGCCATTTTGAACTTGATCCCAGGAAAAAATGGTATGCATCAAGCTTATATTATGTTTAATATATGCACTAAATCTGAACAAAATCCATCCATGCATGACTGAGATCCGGTTCCGGAATTGTGAAAATACGTGATTTTGATGCATTTTCGGCCTTAAAATGGCCATCATTCAGCTATTGTTAAGCGGATCATGAAATAAATGCACATATCTATTTGCGACATGATGTACCATGTGTGTGTGAAGTTTGA